GGCTAGAGGTATTGTAAGTCATTCCGTGAAGTTTTGAAATTTTTGATTTTTATGTTTTTTTCACCTAAAAAATTTAAATTTCACTCAAAGTGGATGCCACGTGTATTCTAAGTCATTCGTGAAGTTTTGAAATTTTTGATTTTTTGCTTTTTTTTCACCTCCAAAAATTAAAATTTCACTCAAAGTGGGTGGCCACAGGTATTCTAAGCCATTCTGTAAAGTTTTGAAATTTTTGAGTTTTTGAATTTTTTTTGGGCACCTTAAAAATTTAAAGTTCACTCAAAGTGGGTGGCCACATGTATTCTAAACTATTATGTGAAGTTTTGAAATTTTTGATTTTTTTATTTTTTTTGGGCACTTAAAAAAATTTAAATTTCACTAAAAGTGGGTGGCCACAGGTATTCTAAGTAATTCTGTGAAGTTTTGAAATTTTTGAATTCTTGATTTTTTTTTAAAAAATTCAACAAATTTCCTATTTTCCCGAAATCTAAATTTTTTTTATTTTCTCGACATTTTGATGATTTTTTCTGGAATTTTTCAATTTTTTGGGATTTTCTGAATTTTTTTAAAGATTTTTATGAATTTTTCGGATTTTTTATTATTTTTATTCCATTTCTAAAAAAATGGATTTTTGTTCCTGGAAATAGAATTTTTTTATCAAACGGGTTTTTATTTCAGGAAATAGAAATTTTGTGCTGTTATCAAACGGGTTTCTGTTCTAGAAATAGAAATTTTTTGTCATTATCAAACGGGTTTTTTTTCTCAGAAACTCATCCAGGAACCAGAAATAGAAAAATCTATTTCTGGTTCAGGAACTCATTCCGGAACAGAATGGTTATCATTCGCTACCTTAGCGTTGGAGTGTGGTTCATACTCCCAATCAACAGGAAGGCACAAAGGTTCCATTCTATTCTATTGGTAGTTTGGGCTTGGGCGTAGAATGGCCAGCGTCCATGTCAGCGATTTCCGGTCAAAATTGGCCGAATGAACTCAATTGCCAAAACATAAAAAGGTTTCAAACTCAATTGGCAAAATTAAAATATTTAGAACTAAATTGATAAAATTGCAATAGGTCTAAAGACTTTTTGCACAATTTTCTCAAATTGAGTAGAAGAGATTTAATAGCTTAAGCGAGCACATAAATTATGGCACGGTAAAGTAATTGGTAAATTTCGATCCAAAAAAAAGAAGTAATTGGTACATAACCCAGTCCATTAGGTTAGTGACCCATTTTCATGGCAAAAAAAAAAAGGTTATTCGTGAATTTTTTGAGAGAGATCAAAGTGAGGAATCGCTTTGATTAATATATACAAATACGGACAAGATATATATAGACTAGCGTATGGTATGCGCCGTACACAAGTTGGACATTATCACATCCCTTGGATCATGCGTGTCCTACATGACTCGCACAATTTAACAATCCAACAGTTGCGGTGAAGTGCGTGCATAATGTTACCCACATCACCGAAGAAAAACACAATTCTGTCACTACCAGCGGTATTTAATATACGGGACAAGAAAGGACTTGGTAACGGAATCGTTCCACACCACCGATTTCCACCATTCCTCCTCATCTCTTCGAATCTCAATCGCTTGTAGACAACCAGAAGGTGGTTCCCCATCTCGAGGGAGTTGCTCATGGAGAGATATGCATTCTAGCTTCGGACATCGCCTTAGGGATATTCTTTGGAGAGAATGACAGCTTATCGCCGCCCCACATATCCTTTTTAGTGCAGGAAGATTCCATAACTCTAAGGTCTTCATCTTAGGGAGGGATAGAGCGGAAGCGAGATGAGCATGATTGGCCTCACTCCTCGTATAGCTCCCTCTGGTGTCCCCCTCTTCCTGACACTCCATATCTACTTCCGTCATTGCTATGACCTCCTCCATTTGATTACAATAACTGATAGAAAGCTTCTCCAGGTCTACAAGGAGGGGTAGCAACACATGCGTCAGGAGCCTCTTCATTTTATTACAACCAACGATATCGAGTTCCTTGAGACCCCAAAACTTGTCACCTTCATATAGCACTCCTGGGACTGCAGTCGCAACAGCACAGGGTTCTTCCTCAGCTAGCGCACGTAGATCCATAATGGATATAAGTTTGAGAGACTCTATGCTTGGAAGAGGAGAAGATGAGGATTGTGACACTGCATACTTCATGCCGTGTATCCTCTTCAGTGTGCACATCTTCAGCTTTGAGTTTGTTATGCTTGGAATGTCCGTCAAGCTCTTAGGCTCATCAACTGCATCTCTGATCTCCAAGTGCTGAACATCTTTTGGGTGCACAGGGGGGGATTTAGGTCCATCTCCTCCAACATGACACCCAAGTAGCCTCACTGTTCTACTGTAAATGGAAACATCCACATCGCGGATGCAGATATTATCATCCCTAGCACCTTCAATTAACTCAATTTCCCACTCCTTGGGACCGCCAGCCTGTAAATGTTTCACATACAAGTCATAGCTTTGGACATCGCCAAACTTGCAACTCAGCTTCTCCAACTTTGTCAAACTCATTATTTCCTGAGCCTGTACTGTCATGCTGTCGCACCAACCCTTAAGATTTAGGGTTTGCATGTTAGAGAGCTTGGGCAGAATTCCAGGAGGCAATTTCTTTAGTCTTGACTCGCCAAAATCCAGGCATCTTAAATTCACCAATTCGTGCAGCCCTTCAGGGACTTCTTCAATTCCACTGTCATAGAAATCCAACGTTCTTAATGCCCTCATATTTGCTAATGAAGGCACGCACCGTAAGCATTTACAACGACGCAGTAACAAATGCGTGAGGTTCACCAGGTTAGAGATTGAACTGGGCAACATCTCAATATTCGTCATGGACAGGTCCAGAACTTGAAGAGCGGGCATGCAACCAAAGAATGAACCATCTATCCTTGTCAAGACGTTAGAACTCATATAAAGCTCCAAAAGTTGAGGCAGATCCCAGCTTTGCCGTCTCACTGCTGGTATTTCTTTTAATGAATTTTTAATCAAGGATACTTTCTCTAAGTCCTTAAGCCATTCTTCCTGCGCTGGAATTGTGCACAATCCTAGCCCAGCTTTCACCATGCATTGAGAGCCCATCATATTGATCGCCATGTCCCTGACTAAATCGTGCATCTTCAATCTTTCATAAGAGGGAGGCCCTGATTTTTCCAGCAAGCAGACGTTGACTAATTTATTCACAATGGTGTGACCCCTATCGTACTGTGCTTCTCGAGTTTTCAAGTCACTAAAGAAATCGAGATAAACAGGATTTCGCAACAAGTCTGCGGTCCAGATGACAAAATCCTCAGGGTACAGTGCCAGATGCAGGAAACACTGTTGCACAACCTGATCATTCAGGCGAATAAAACTGAACTTTAATACTCTGAATACCTTATCTTCCATGCATTTACCTTCAAACCTTGCTTCTTTTAACTCATTCAGGGCACTTCTCCACTCGTGAATGTCCTCCTCCTTCCCTCGCATACTTCCAGAAACCACCACTATACCAAGAGGCAATCCCGCACATTCCTTTGCAACAGACTTCGCAACACTTTCTACTTCAGGAGCGAAAACAACTCCTCGTCTGAGATTTTTTACAAACAGTTGCCAGGCTTCATTTTCAGGAAGCGGCTTTAACTCGATCAGTTCATCGCAATTCATCTGCCGACATATGTCCAAGGACCGAGTTGTTAGAATTAACTTACATCCATTCACACCAAGTGGAATTCCAACCTCCTGCAGATCATAAGCGTGCCATAGATCATCTAAAATAATGACGGTGCTTTCTCTCTTCAGTAAGTATGACAATTCGGCAGCCCGTTTGATTTTATCTTCCTCCTCTCTCAGGGCAGCGTTAAAACATTTCGATATCCTTTGTTGCAATGTGGGAACATCACATTCTTGGGACACTGTTACCCAGCATACTTTCCTCCAAGTGCTTGCCTTTAGGAGATGGTTGTGGACATGGGTGACGAGGGTTGTTTTTCCAACTCCACCCATACCAAAAATGCCGACGGTCAACACGTCATCTTCCATCAAACGAGACAGCACTCTATCTTGATTTCGTCCGAAAGCCTCACCAACTAACTCCACAGTCAACAACGCCCTGGTATCTTCAACGTGTGAAAGCCCTCTAGGAAATTCACCTTGGTCTGTGAGTTCCTCCACCTGCGTGGTCAATCGGTTTATTTGATTCACCAAGCTTACCCGTGTACAAACTCCCCCGTCTGCAACTTGTGGTTCTATTGCCGAGATTGCGTCCTTTACGCTCCGGACATTTCTCAGCCAGTTCTCGACTTCTCTCTTCCTTTTATTTCCGAGCCTTGATTCTGCATATTTAACTTCCATAAGGACGTCAGATTCCCTGCTATTTAGTCTCTCCAGCTTTCGACGAAGGCTATCCATCTTCCCACCAGCATTAGTGTAAGGACGGAGCCTTTTAACAAGATCAATAATTGCGCTCAGACTGTCCATGCCTGCAGCCTGAAAGGACAAATTTATCCTTAACCTTTAAAAGAGATATTCTCGATCAGATTGCTTTTGAACGAAATCTTACTATTAAGATCATATATGCCGCAATCAACCTGAACACGTCTTTTGTTCACCAAACTACAGTTCGCATGCCAAAAATCTCACTTTCTTTGAGCTCAAGTCCGAGCCCGTTTCCACAAGATCGGACCTCTACTACTGGTCTCCCCCGATGAAGGTATCGGACTTCTCCCAACAAATAGTAATAGAGTCAATTATGATATATTAATTGCTCCACGCCATATCAATTCTCTTACGTGCGATTTCTCTAATACAACTCATACGTGCATCTAAAAAATAATCTCATACATAAAAAAACTCGGACGACTCCAGTAGATCAAGAGTACAAGGATGGATCAACTTTGTCTAAAAGTTTATAACACTACTTGAAGGCAAACGCACCAAAGCTCATTGTTTCACAATTCATGCGTGCAAAAGAAAACTAGGCTTTAGATATCTAAAGAAAGGAGCGACGAGTGTACCTGGAGCCAACCGCACCGATACTTGTGGAAGAACTTCCGACGAACAAGATGCACAGAGAGAAGACGGACGGTGATACTGCTGCTCAAATTCAACAGAGCGCGCAACTGGTGTAGGTTTGTAGAGAAGCGGAAACTTCTTTATGGCCTCACAGGACTTGATTGAACAGAGCATTGACTTTGAGTCAACTAGTGCAGTTGTCCCGATCTTTTTTTTGTGGTCGAAAGTTATCCCTGATTTAAATTACTCACCAGGAAGGAATAAAAACACTAGGGAGGACTGAAGGAGATACAATGGGACCTATAAAAGTATAGGGTTAATATCACAAAAAATTTAAATTGATACATTTATGATAAATTTATATTAAATTAATTTTTTATCACGAAAAATCCTAAATTGATATACCTGTAATAAATTTACCCTCCGTTAGTTTCCATTAAATTTTACCATCAAATTACTGAGTTTGATGACACGTGACAGTTGAAAAATGTACCAGTTTAGAGTTTTACCCCTCCGTTTGTCACGGGTTTATCAATTTGTGATTGTTCGTGGTATTAATCCAATTTAATAGAGCATAAATTTATCACAAATATACCAGTTTGGATTTTTGGTGGTCAAAAAATTAGTTCAGGGGTAAATTTGTCACAGGTGTACCAGTTTGGGGTTTTTCGTGGTATTAACCCAAAAGTATAAAGTAGCAGTCAAGCCCGACAAATTCTCTTTAATGAAAATGACGTTAAATAAACACATTATTGGTAGCAACTAAACATTACTTTCAATTAAGAAATGTGTGAATTAATTAGAAACCCCTAATTTGTCATTTGACAAATGACACGGATGATACATGAATTTGGTCCAATGTGCAATATCATCACTGAACTTTTAATTTGTTCATTGTAGTCCCCAAACTATTGGCAAATGTTCTTGTCCTTACGTTTGCTCAGATGACAAATCATATGTTATTTGATGATGTAGATTATTATACGTTGAGTTAGATTTTTAAAAATGACAAGTTAACATATTCATCTTTTTTATCCATCTACTTTAGAAAAAGAAAATAAAACTTAGGGCATTAACATGTCCATTGTTATATAATGACGTGAATCATTTTATGCCGAGTTATATTTTTCAAAATGATGAGTCAACTTGTCCATCTTTTTTATCCATCTACTTTAGAAAAAGAAAACAAAAATTAGGGCATTGTCGTGTCCATCATTATATAATGACGTAGATTATTACAACCTGATTTGAGATGGATATCTTACTTGGATAATACACGTGTATTTTTTTTTACTTATCCAATATTCAAACTTAACAAATTGGAAGTCACATCAGCATATTTCGTTAGTTGAATTAACGAAAAGATAACATTGAATATTTTCATATGATCTAGGGACTAGATTAAACATTTACAAATATGTCAGGAACCACATTGAACAAATGAAAAGTCTAAGGACAGCATTGCATTTTGGATCAAAATTTAGAGACTATTTGTGTCATTTTTCCTTTATAAATGAAAACTAAAACAAAGTAACCAAACTACCTCTAAGCAAGCATAGTATCTGAAGATATCTAATGTTTCGTGAGTGAAAACACGAAATATTGTTCCATGCAGATAATTCTCTAATAGCGTTGGTAATTTCTATAATCTGTCAGTAACTAGAAATTAACCAACAACTTATTTAGTCTATGACATACTTGGACGTTACCTACAGTTTGTTGGATGTACCAAAGATTATTTAGCTTGTGATAGTTACCAACAGTTTTGTGGAAGTACCAATATTTATTTGATTGTTTTATTTACTCACTGTTTCTGTAATTTACCAATATTTTCTTGGGTAGTTTATTAGAATGTTAAAGTTACTGAGCTTTGATAAAAAAAAAATATTAACCCTTATTTGAGTCTATTTACCAACTTTTATTTGATTGTTTCAAAATTACAAATTGTTCTAAATACTTATTAATATTTATTTGTTAAAGTCACTACGTCTTATTGTATAGTAGCAGTATTGATTTGAGTGATCTATCAAATCTTCAAGGATTAAGTTACCATTTAACTTTAGCTTTACTAGCTCTTATTTTAGTGAGTAACCAATGTTTATTTAATTGTCTCGAGATTAACACCTGTTATAATAATTTACCAATATGTTTTTTGCGATTGTTATCAACATTTTAGAAGTACAAGCTCTTATACATAGAATGGATACCAAACTAAAATTGCTTTAAACTCGGTCCAATAAGCTTTATTCAAATGGCAAAAGAAATCCTAAGCCACCCCGTCACGCCCTCGTTGTAAACACGTAGAGCGAGCAAAACCACGGCTCAGTGAGTAACAATCACCACTTCTATGAGATCAAGCAATGAATAATGCAATTTTACAATAGTTATGCAATAGTTATGCAGCGTGTTGAAATCACACTTAGGCTAGTATGTAATACCATTCGTCACAAGTCATTTCAATATCATAAATGAATAGACATATCCAACCCATTATTTACGGTAGAACATTACGGTCACGCTTTGCCAAGTGACAAGGCCCAGAAACTACATCAATATCTCGATACGTAGGTCGATTATAAACGTCAATCCAATGTCCATATGTCATGATGTATGGTTTTCCTTTCGGTGCATTTCTTAACTGTCGCTGCATTTCTCCATTGATGAATGTCCTTCTCTCCTCGCATGCTTTCCGAAGTCACCACAATCCCAAGAGGCAGAACCGCGCTTTCGGCGACTGACCTTGCAACCGTTCTCTATTTCAGCAGAGGACAGAACATCACGTCCCTCATTCCTCACGAATAAGAATTAGTAACTTGAACGTTGAGCTAAATCACACAAATAAGAATTAATAATCTGGAAAAATGCAGTAAATGGCGCAGATAATTTTCTATATGAATTAGTAACTCAAACGCATTGGTTGCTTTAACAAATAAATAGTGTTAAATTTCCGAAATAATTGATAATTTTGAAACAATCAAATAAACCTTGCTAAGCTAGTTCGAATGAAGTTGGTAATTTTCTATAAAAGTTAGTAACTTTGGCGAGCTACTAAACTCAACACTGATACATTATCGAATTAGTTAATAATTTAAAGCGATCCAATAGTCGTGGGTATTTTGCTGAAAGTGTTGCCGATTTAACAAGTCGTGCGTCAAAATTTCGTTAACAACGGGTCTTGAGAATTGCAAGCTCTTTCCACATTTTACCAGCACGGAACGGCGTTTCGATTTTTTCCCTGTTCAACGGTAGAACTGTCCAATAATCTATATATTGATTTGACTTGTGTCTCGTTACGCCATTGCTTTTATTCTCCGAGAGTGATGGTTACGCGCATGTTTCAGGAATCTTGATAACAAAAAGTCTTCATTTTATGGAGAAGGGAAACGTCAGTTTTGTGGGTATTAAGTCGCCTCGCCATGTGGGGAAAGAGTTAGCAGCATCATCACACGCTATGGCTCCTGATTCACTTTCGTTGAAAGGTCTGTCAAACTTGGTGGGCGTTTGAATTTTTGTTCTTTATCCTCCACAGAAGCTTCCTCCACCATTCAGTGATGACTAAAATGACTACACCAGACAAGCAGAATTGCTGGTTTGTCAAACAGAATTTAATTCTTTGGAGGTTTCTGTACCAGAAGGGTCCATGAAGAGGTGCCTCACCACGTCCCTAACAGCGACATCATAACCCGTGACTGACTTTCCATGGCATCACTTGGATCTCTCCGGCTGCTGGTCTTACTCTTTTCATTCTTTTAGTTGTTTTTCTGTACTTTCTCTGCGTAAAAACATTTTCGCAACTTAAGGATACGACGTGGTTTGTTCAGCGAATTTGCATGTCGAGTAGAAATTTAAGCCGATAATCCTCAGTGACCTCGAAAGCTTAGCTGTGATGGTTATCCAAATGTGATATGAGTTCGCGCAATGAATGCGGTGAAACGGTTGAATGAATGTGCTTGCCACTTGGTGAAGGAAAGTATTGACAAGCGCGAAATGGGTAAGCTGTAGATGATTCTAGCCGCGATGGATCAGGAAGTGGAGGTCAAAAGAGAGACGAGGAGTCATAGGTGAACAGATCATCCTCTACCATGAACCGTACATCTTACATTAGACACAAAACTGAAGAACCTACAGGGAAACAATCATGTGTCCAGATATATAAATTCAATACTGAGCACCGCCCTCTCTGAGTTGAGAACGGCAAGCAGAGGAACGGATAGCTTGCAGCAACGGAGAAACAACACACGACACCCAGCACCACGTCCTCCGGAGCCAAGTTACTGCGGTAGCACACTTCCAATTCACAAATGTCATCTGTATCGGACATAAGGGCGAAGGAGGGACTTGTCCAGGGGACTGTCCCACCTCACCGACTCCCACCATTCCTTCTCATCTTTCCCAACATGAATTGCCTGAAGAGAATTAACCTTGCCACCAGGTAGTTCACAGTCATGAGGGAGGCGCACATGAAGCGCTATCCTTTCTAGCTTCTTGCAATGTTTCAGTGTTACAAATTTAAAGAGACTTGCACATTATCGTCCTCCTACATATGCTTTTCAGTGCCTGAAGATCTCTTAAACATAAGGTCCTTAACTTAGGGAGGCTTAGAGTAGAAGTAAGATCATCTGCTTCACTGCTATGACCTCTTCCATTACTTCACATTCTTGAATGTGAAGATTTTCTAGGTTTGCAAGGAGTGACATGAGCGTGTCCGTCCGGAGGTTCTTCATTTTGCAGCACTTGTAGATGTAGACTGTTTTAAGACCCCAAAAGCGTTTACCTTCGGAAATCCACCCCGGCAAAGGCCTGGCAGCAACAGCAACTGCCTCAACTGGAGCACACAGGTCATCTAATGCATCCAATTTCAGATACTCGAGGCTTTGCAGAGGAGCGTAATAATCTGCAGGAGAACTAGAGGACAGTAGCACCAGATGCTCCATCCCAGGAATTCTCTTTAGTCCGCATACCCTCAACTTAAAAGTCTCTGATGCTTGGAATGTCCATCAAGCTTCTCATGCCATCAAGAGGATCTTTGATGCTCAAACACTCTATGCCTTTCGGGAGCAGAGGAAGCTCCTCACCTCCTCCTTCCTTGACACGACATGCGCCCAGCCTCACAGTTTTACTGCAGATTGGAGGA